TAAATCTGATGAACATTTTTGCCACTGCAGATTTGCTCTAAATGCTTAAGTTTCAGAGATATAAACCAAAAGCTGCATTTTACCCCTATGTTCTATTTTTAACGAAGTCGGCCATGATGGTTGGAAGGCGGGGTCATTGGACAAATATTTTAAACTAGATACCCTAATAATGATTATGGCCAAGTATGGTTAAATTAATTTGTCTCAGTAGTTTCAGAGAAGAAGATTTTTGTAAAAGATTACAAAAATTTACAAAAAATTGTTAAAAATTGACTATTAAGGGCAATAACTCCTAAAGGGGTCGACTGACAATTTTGGTCATGCAACTTATTTGTAGATCTTACTTTGCTGAACATTATTGCTGTTTACAGTTTATCTCTATCTATAATAATATTCAAGATAATAACCAAAAACTGCAAAATTTCCTTAAAATTACCAATTCAGGGTCAAGCAACCCAACAACGGGATGTCAGATTTGTCTGAAAATTTCAGGGCAGATAGATCTTGACCTGATTATCAGTTTTAACCTATGTCAGATTTACTCTAAATGCTTTGGTTTCAGGGATATAAGCCAAAATCTACATTTTACCCCTATGTTCTATTTTTAGCCATGGTGGCCATCTTTGTTGGTTGGCGGGGTCATCGGACACATTTTTTAAACTAGATACCCTAATGATGATTGTGGCCAAGTTTGGTTAAATTTGGCCCAGTGGTTTCGGAGGAGAAGATTTTTGTAAAAAGCTAACGACAACGACAACGGACGAAGGACGCCAAGTGATGAGAAAAGCTCACTTGGCCCTTTGGGCCAGGTGAGCTAAAAATGCACAAAGACTTTTTCAGAATTCAAAATAATTCCAGATTCAAATAATTTATTGTTTTTACATTAAAAAGTGCTGCACCCCCTTTGCATTTACATGACAGAACCTCTGACCACCCGTTTTTAAAAGCTTTTTAACAGCTTCACGTATTGAAAGCTCATGAACCATTGCCGTGAATAAACATGTGTCTTTAACAGCTTCTATCATATTAAATTAGCATATATCCTTTGTACAAGTCATAGTCAAATTTTGTACAATTTGTACATGCATTTTTTGGAAAAATTATAATTTGAACAAAGTAAACATACAAATTATAATTTGTACACAACATATATATATTGATTGATTGATTGATTGGTGTGTAACACCACTTTCAGCACTAGTGTGTTATTTCGTGGCGGTGTTTTTATTTGTGGAGGAAGCCGGAGTCCCTGGAGAGATCCACCAGCCTTCGGTAGGAAAACTGACAATCCTAGTCAAATAAGATTGGAGTTGAGCACACCTGTAAAGTGTGGGATTCCAATTCACAACCTCAGTATTGACACCCTAGTGATAGAGTAGCTGGACTACTAAAACCACTCAGCCAATGAGGCCTCTCTGAACATATAGATAAAAAAAAGCAACAAATGACAATATATTCTTTTAATATTTAGATGTTCATGATAAAAGCATGATAACAATAATGGTTTGAAATATACTTTAACAAACATGATAGTAATTCCACTTGGCATTATTCATTTATCACTAAAACAAACATATGCCACAGAAATATGAATTGCATATTTATATAATTTTCAAACAAAATAAGATATAATGCCTAATTTCATGTCTTATTTCAGAAACTAATGGAATTATTGGATGGAAAATATTCTTTTATAGCTTTTCTAATAAAAAATTTCAAATTTTCCTTTGATCTATACAGTTGTTATTTGAGAGACTAAATCATGTCCTTCTTTTTTGAACATACATTGTCAACACAATATGCATATAGAATCATGCTTGATATTTGCATTATGGAAATTTTTTTGGGTAATTCCAAATTTGACTAATGATTTAGAATATATTTTTAGCAATATTGGTGTTTATTTACCTCCAATTACAGTGAAAATGCAAAGCACCAATGAATAATTGTTTGGCAAAGAATTAGCACATATTACATTCATTTGATAAGAAATAATTAATATGAACAAAAATACACCCATGCAGCAACTTCGATGAAAAAAGAAAAATTTATTTGAACACATAATATAATGAAGAATGATAAATTAATTGGTCATTTAAAATGTAAAAAATCCTATTCAGCCAACAGTGTTTACCAGCATTCCCTGTAAAGAATTGAACAAAGCCCTTAGCATCCAAATAAGATGATTAAGATCAGGTTTTGATTGTATAATAAGTGAAAAAACCTCTGTAAACCAAAAATTTTTAAAAATAATCTTATGCAAGGTCACAATGAAGTATTTGTTTCTGAATTAATTAAAGAATGTGATAAAGGTTTTGTTTATGAACCATTTAAGACCTTGCCTTTTGGAAATTGCATGGTAAGTCCTCGTGGCTAAGCAACAATCAAGTACTTAGATAAAAAGAACCTCATTTTAGATTTGTCTTCTCCACATCTGATGGCATTTGTAAATGTATCAATGATATGATAGATAAGAATTCTTGCTCTATTTCATATATTTTGAAATTGATGATGCTATCTAAACTTTTCTAAAGTGTGAAAGAAACAGTACATTGTGTAAATTTGATATTTCTGATGCATTCATACACAGTGGCCTTTATTCTGTTTCAAATTGAAATCCTATTTCATATATGACTGAATTAAATAAAATGCACAATGTTATTTGTAAAAGTGCTGAAAATTCTCCACTACAAAACAAGATTATTATACAAAAACTATCATAATGATAAATGAGTTTTTAGCTTCAACTGCTTTTCATCCCAATAAAGCAAGAACATTTCCCCCTCATGTAAGCTATAGTATTTTAACCATGAGAGAAAGTTGTAACATGAACAGATAACTCTTGACTCTAATATAACAAAATAATACAGAGGTTTCCCAAATACAATTCACTACTTGACAAGAATAAACTAAGATGATTATCATTGTAATCATTCTAGAAAAATATCATCATAGAAGCATGTTAAGTTACTCAAGTTACAAAATATATACAGTAATTGGGAAGAGGAAAATCTTCACAAAAGAAACTTTCCAGTTTAAATTAGTTGTGCTTTAGCATATAAGACATAAATTCTGTCTTTTAAATTCAACTCTGTTACATATTCTTAAAATATTTTTAAACTGTCCTTTATTCCATAAAATCTATGAATACATAGTCATAATTTTAATCCATGGAAAATATTTTCTCTTGCAAATAAAAACATTATGACTCTTTAATACTGATTCTTTTCCCAAAATGATCATTCTATGGTTGTTTTAAAGAAAAAAGTTGTCTTTCTATTAGTCAAAATTATGAAATTTATCAACTGGAGGAGTTATTAAAAAATCTACAAAATAATTTCAGATTACCACAGAACTTTTCTGAGATCAGGTATTGAACAACTTGACAGACATCAGGTAAATGACAGTGGATTATACTTTAAATACTAGTTCATACAAATAAAATAAAACATTCAAATATTGCACATTTATCAAAAGTCTACTGTTTCACAACAGTACTGCATCTTGCATATGTAAAAGCTACTATTACTGACCTAAAAATTCATATAAAAAATATATTTTGCATGTACTATTTCCATAAAATCGCTCAAACATTTCACATTAACAGCTCATATAAGAAATATATATGGATTTAATGATTAAAATAGAAACTATTACCAAATAAAATATAACCAGGTATACCAATAATACCTCAAAAGTTCTAGCTGATAATGGCTAGTCTTGAAATAAACACTTCTACTGAAGCCTTCCTATGTTCTCACAATTAACAATAGGCTTAATAGTTCAGTTCATCTCCAAAGACCTACCTTATTTACAATCTCCTTGTTATATAATATCACTAGACTTTTTTTAATTGGAACCTTTTCAATTATGATTATGTTATTAGGTGTTACACAAGATATTGCACCATAATCAGTAATGCATACATTTAACGTTTTACACCAATAAAATAGGTAATTTTCTTTCATTTTGTCAGCAGAGTTTTTTGTAGTCAATATAGACACTTTTAAATGTTTAGATACAATAATAGTTTATAGAATGTATCAACCAGGCAATATTTCCCTCATTTTAGTTTTGAAAAAAAAGGAAGTCCTCAATTTTGATTTTTGAAGAAGATGGTGAGTGGTTACAAATCAAACTGTTTGACTGGTCAGAAATTTGAACCTACTGCTGTAGAAAAAGCACAGTCAAGTCATCAAAGTGCACAGTGATCAAATAAATATAATAAAATAAGCTATTATTGAGGACACAGGAAGGCATATATTAATGATTTTTCACAAAACAATAAAATAAATCAACTATATCATGGCATTTAAACAAATACTGTCAGGATTATGGCTCTCTAAAATGATAACAAAAGAACAAACTTACAATATTTAGTGAAGATGGAAATATTTGCCATTTACAAGCAAAAATAAATAGAAAATAATTAACAATGTAAGTAATAGTATTGCCATTAAATGTGAAGTATTACATTAGTAGTATCCTTAATTTCTTTTCAGATTTTGTTTATATCAGGATTCCTACCAATTTTTCTAAAACAAGATTTTCTATTAGTAAACGTAAATATACTCATGTTATAATACAAGAGTGCACACGCTGAAATGTCTCGCCTTCTTTACTAATCATTGATATTATGTTGATAGTCCTAAATATAAAGCTTTATTACAACTGTCACATAAACTTAACATTAACCAAGTAAACTAAACATTGACCAATGAACCATGAAAATGAGGTCAAGGTCAGATGAACCATGCTAGGCAGGCATGTACAGCTAACAATTCTTCAATACAACAAATATAGTTGACCTATTGCTTATAGTTTAAGAAAAACAGACGAAAACACAAAAACTTAACACTGAGCAATGAACCTTGAAAATGAGGTCAAGGTCAAATAAAACCTGCGTAACTGACATATAGATCATAAAATATTTCCATACACCAAATATAGTTGAACTATTGCATATAGTATTAGACAAAAGTCGCAGGCTCGACAATAAAAACTCATGCCAAAAAACATTTGAAGAAGCTTGTACATTTTCACACTCTGTAAAGTGTATTACATCATTTCTCCATAAAAAACTGATAACATCCAAAATTTCAAATACTTTAGATTCATTATTATTCAAAGGTACTAGTTTTCTAAGATTTTGTGGGAAATGGGGAACTACAAATGTCAGTGTTAAACAATATACAAGCCTCTTTTACACATATATACAGAATTTTTCAAAACCACAAAATCAAATATCCAAGAACCAAGAATTGTTCAATCATGGTCAATTGGTACCTATGAAAATAAATAAATCATATTATAAGCTGAGTTTGACTACTTTGCAAATAGGCTAAAAATTAACTGAAAATATTTCATAAATGTATTAACTGATCACAAAAGCAGCAGCTGAAAAGTCTTTTAGGATATTATAGATATATCATAATGAACACAAACATATATATACATCAAAATGTACAGAAAAATTGGTCCTTACTTAATATCACATACTTTCTATTTTGATTGTTGGATTTAAATGGATTTAAGTCAGTTTAAAAAATATTTTGTGACAATTTTCAATTTATAATGACTTTTCAGCCATGACAAATATTTAATTAAAAGACATATTACACACTACTATCATATTTGCACTACAATTTTTGTTTATATATTAACGATTTATATATAATAATGCATTTCTGCTTGGATTTTATAAAAAAAAAAATGTTGTCTCAAAATTGGTTCAACACAAAAGTTTAGCTTTTGATACTTGATACTTGAACTAAAATTTTCAAAAGTCAAGAAGTTTAATGTAAAATATGAATTCCTAAATGCCCGATGAAAGCAGAGGTAGGTTTATCTTGAGTCTATTTCTTTTTACATACTTTGCACATGAAAAAAAATCAAGCTTAAACATTTTCAAAGGAATAAGACAATAATGGAAGTAAAAAAAACCAACTAGACAAAAACTTGTATGCAGCATAAAGATTTTGGACAGGAAAAGTACAAGCATGGATATCATTACCAACAGAATCAGATCTGTTTTGATATTTACTGTTGTCCTTGTCTACCTTTTCCCAGAATGCAATACAATCACAGCTGACAATAAGCACAAGTTTTGGTTAAGTTCCTTTTGATCTGGTATTACCTTCATTTAGCTTAAGATTTATAATTGAGCTTAATCTTTCTACAATGTGCAATACATTGAGTGAAAAAAAGAAACAGGATTAGCTTTGATCTATTCTATCAGTTTTTTTTGGGTGTAGGTTTCCCTTGGACAATATATAATCAGGCTTTAGTAAAATGAACAGATATTAAAAAAAACAAAACAAATAACGACTGATAGAAAATAAATATATTTTTTACAGCAGGAATTTTTTGGTTTGGCTACAACAAGTTGTACCTATTATAAAATATCTATAAATTATCTAATGTTTCATATAAATAAACAAAAAAATGAGAAAAAAAGTAATTGCATTGTAATCTAATGTAAACCTATGAAATGATGTAACAAGATTATGAATGATAAATAATGATCAATAAATAAATACATATGACAAACTGCAGCAAGTTTTATAAAGGGAATTGTTCATCTGTTAACAATTTTCTTCTGATTGTCTTCATACAGAAGCTCCTCAAAATTTTTACCTGTCGAAATCAAATTGCTTATTAATAGAAAGTAACCTAGATTTACCAGGGTTTTGACAGATGAAATTTGATTTCAAAAGATATCAGTTTTGGATATAATGTTTTGTCTCTAGAAATCACATGTCTGTTTATATTAATTTTTTCATGACACATAAATCTATCATAGAGAGGGCATGCCAATTGGTACTAAATAATTACTTAGATTACATATTACAAGGATTTCTTGAGTAAAATCAAATCACACATCTAATACTACAAAAATATTTCAATTTTCAAATCAAAAGCTTAATGCTGAAATGTTTTTATTATGGGGATTAAGAAATCTTCGTACTTTAGCCAAAAAAAGGTTCTTTTTGCACAAATTTTGAAGTAGTCATCTTGATAAGGGTTACTGATAGCATATTTGTCATGAACAAATCTTCACCAATCTTTTTAACATCATGAGACACATGAAAAGTACTGTGGAAGCCTGTTTATTGGTATGGTGCCAATTTTCATGGACTAATTGTAATTACTAAAAATCATGATTTTTTTTTATACCAAATGAAGTGAATATTTAAAATACATTTGTTATTTGCCACATTTTACAGCAAAGATTCTAAAACAAACTTTTCCACAAAACATAAAATTGGAACCCAAGAAAAAATACTTTCATAGTCGATTACAACTAAAATCATAGAAATGTTATCTAATATCTCTTGCAAGGGGCCATTCTATTCTTAATTTTATGAAGAACTGTTTAAAAAAATTCATGATTGAAACTAAAATTTCTCTGGTGAATCTTAAGTAAAGTCACCTGTTGCAAGCTATATCAACTCACTTGCTCGATTTATATTTTTTCCATACAAAAATTTATTAAAATAGCTGTAGATAAAATTTAAACAGAACTGACCAATTGCAAAAATACTAACACTTGTATGAATTTGATTGTAATGGAGAGATCAACTATCATTCACTAGTGTTTATAGTTGGGAGATCTATCATACAAATATCATTTCCGTAAATTCTTTTATGGCTCTTTTCACAAAAAATCTTAGGATAAAAAATGATCGTAAGTTAAACTGAAATGTTAATGACTTGCAAGTACTTTTTCTCTGTTAGATTTTTTGTGGAATGAGTTGCTGAACTTCACAAACAAAAGATTCTTGTTTATAAACAGAACTATAATACTATGAACACAACCAGCACAGTATATTGAGATTATCACAGAACATGACACTGTCAATGTATCATGCTAACACAATACATGGATGATATACCAGCACACAAACACATCAGCTGTTTGACTGATTCTCTGAAAGAAGAAAAAAAACCAACATTACAATAAGATAAAACATATATGTATCATTTTTTTATGAAAATACTTTTATTTACTATGACAAGATGAATTGTGGATGCTAGCATTAGCTTAAAGGTAACATTTTATAACTTAAAATTCTGTAAACCAACTAATTTTTAATAGCAATCTAATTTGCTTGACTTTCATGAGTAGAAAAATAATGGTATGTGCAAACTTAGGTCTTCCTTTATAAAAATACATCAAATAAATAACAGACTGTTGAGAAGGGCTAAATGCGAAATAAAGTATCCACGAAAATAAGATGGTTTGAAAAAGAAATCATGCATTTCTTGGGAAACTCCAATACGTCAATTGTTTACAAAATTTAAATCTGTACAGGACATGTATGCCATACAGATTTACCCACCTAATCAATGAGGCATCATTTGTAAAGGAGAATAATTTTTTTACCACTTACTTTGCATGTGTTTCCTGTAATAAATCTGGTACAACTGTTACTAATGCTATATAAATGAAGCCACCAGAGGTGAAGGGCAGGATCCAGGCTGTACTGTCTCCAGCAGCTTTTGCGGAGTCAGCAAGTAATGCTGTCATAGCACCAACTAATGCACCTGTTGCCGTTAACAACTGAAAATAGATTGTTAGTTCTGAAATTACAAGGCAATTAAAAAATTTCATAAAGTATTTTGCCTGATGAAAAGGCAACATTAGACAATATTTTTATCAAACTCAAAATGCTAATATTGTAAATTCAGCAGCTTTTGAAATGTTTTTATTATTGCAAAAATTGCCATGGGAAAGGTTTTTTAGTTTTAAGATTTTAGCATTACCAAATTGTTTAATTCTGTAGCATTTTATGAAATTGCTATAATTAATCTTACATTCAACAATCTCAATCATAAGTGCAAGAAAACATTTCTGAGTTAACAATATACATTTGTGCTAAGTCTGTTTAATTATATTAAAATCTATGATTTCTGAATTTTTGTTGTCAACTTGTACATCATTTTACTACATTCTACACAGGAATCATCAAATTCCAAGATGTACAGGTCAGATTTGTCTGTATAAACATCAAACTCCCACATCTTTCAAAAAATATCATTGAAAGGAAATTTTACTATTTATTCTTCAAACGTTATTTATGGACTATGTTTCATTTTGCTTTTATGGCCTTTTATTTACACAGATGTTATGACAATTAAACTTCAAACATTTTTTTGGTCTAAATTACATGTAAGTAACAGCCATACATACTGACAAATACAAATGCATGCATATTTACATGTTTGTTGAATTATGTTTTCAATTTTAAAATATTAAAACAAAGGGGATACAATTATACCAAATTCCAATATGAATTCAGGTATTATAAAACTAAATTAGTGATAAAAACATATCAGCCATACCGTTCGTTCAGTAATGCTAAAGGGGATACAGTTTACTTTTAAAAAAATTATCTAATCAGTGAAAAAATGATACATGTTTTACATCAATTTAGTCAGATTTCATTATATTTTAATTTAAAATCAGTTCATTGTTATATTATAAACTTCCTCATATGTAGAAATTGCCAAATTTCTTGTTTCCTGTGGTAAACCATTAGTATCAATCAAATGAAAAAATAAGTTAAAAGGTTCACAACTTAACATGGTACAAAATAATTTTGTAAAGTTTTTTTTCCAATTTTATATTGTCTGTAGGAAAATTTATGTGAACTAATTTATTTGACAGACAAACAAACAGACAAAAGGACAAAACAATATATCTGCTTGTATACGGAACATTAAATATGACGATTATCTTGTCATTTCATTAAACATTTTTATGGCTTGATGGTAGTCCTGTTTGTGGCTGGACTGTGCAGATTTTGATTGTGTTTTACTATCCCAAAATAAATTCTTGAACATCAGGGAGAGGTTTGTTTGAATATTAAACTGTTCAGCCCTGCCATGTTTTGTGCCTGTAATGGGGTCAAGCTATCTGGGTTGTGTGTTGCCCATTGTTACTGTAATTTGTATTTGTGTGTTGTTTTTTTGGTGAAGGTTTTATTGGGTGGTTGGTGTGATCTGTTTTATTGTCCAATATTTTTTTGTAGTTCCTGTTATCCTTTTTATGTTAATATGATGATTGCATAGCAGTAGGTTAGTTCTCTAATACTACCTATATCAACCTTTGACCTATTATACCAATCTACATTCTGATATGATATTACTGGAAAAAGCCATTGTACCTGAGCTTTTGCAGCCTTCCATCTGTCAAATCCTGACCTCAGTAATATTGCAAAATCTCCAACTTCGTGTGGTATTTCATGAAGTAAAATTGCTAAAAGTGTTATAAATCCAACCTGAAAAATAATTGAATAAGAAACATTTAAATAAAAAAGGATTTGGTAAATTAAAATATCTTGCTTGCTGCAAAATTTTAAATATTTCAAAGAGCTAAAGAATCTAAATCTGAGGTCATCTACAACTGAACCTGTAAAGTGAACATCAGAAAACAACATTTGAACGACCTTATGTTGAGCATTGTTGAAGAGGTGTAGAAATGTTTGATTCCTACCATACATCAATGGTGTGTATACTTCATAAGACACCTGATAAGAAAAGTTAATACTCAAACAAATGTTAGATGGTCAATTGAGCTTGACTACTAAAAGTAATTGAACCTCATACATATACTACTTGCAGTGGAGCTGCATCGATCCTGATACAATGATATACAAAATATACAAAATATCAATGGTCAATCAGAAGTACTTATTCTGCAATGAGTTTCAACACAACTTTTAGCACTAAGCATTGATAATACCCAAAAAGTATCATCAATATCTTGGCTTCATGACATTCTTCACAGGCAAGGATATAAACTAGAGGCTCTAAAGAGCCTGTGTCGCTCACCTTGGTCTATGTGCATATTCAATAAAGGACACTCTCCAACATTGTAGACGAGAATAGAATTCATGACAAAAATCTCTGTTTTGTTGATCTTGTATTGCTGATTGTTTAGTCTGTTTATTTTCTCTCTATCTTCTTTAATTTTTGCTCAAAACAGAAAAGAGAGTAAAAAAAAATCCTCATTTAAGGGCAATCAATCCTATTAAGAGTGACAGTCTACTAACTATATTGGCAAAATTTGACTTGTTAGTAGATCTTGACTTGCTGATCATTTTTGTGATCTAAAGTGTCTATCTATCTATTATAATATTTATCATATAAGGCAAAACGCAAAAGAAATGGTGAAAATCATCATTGAAGGGCAATAACTCCGAGTAATAAGAAGTGATCAGACAATTTCCTCCATATTGTCTTAAATTTAGATCTTGTCTTGCTGATCATTTTTGCTTATTTAAGTTTCTATCTATTTATTATAATTTTTAAGATATAAGACAAAAACACAAAAAAAATGGTAATAAAATGCTTCGCTGGGGCGCAGCTTGATACGACCGCAGAGGTCGAACCCTGAACAGTTGGGGCAAGTATGGACACAACATTCAAGCTTGATACAGCTCTGAATTTGGATTGTTATTAAATATTTGACACAGCATAGGTTTCTGACACAGAAAGAATGTGGTCTAAGAACTTGAATTTTTTTAATTTACCTATTATGGTCCAATGTCCAAAATCAAAATACATGGTTAGATTCAGCATATCAAAGAACCCCATATATTCAATTTTTGTTAAAATCAAACAAAGTTTAATTTTGGACCCCAACTTGGACAAACTTGAAAATTGGGCCCATAATCAAAAATCTAAACACATGTTTAGATTCAGCATATCAAAGAACCCCAAGAATTCAATTTTTGCTAAAATCAAACTAAGTTTAATTTTGGACCCTTTGGACCTTAATGTAGACCAATTTAAAAAACGGGACTTAAAATTAAAAATCTAAATACACGGTTAGATTTGGAATATCAAAGAACCCCAATAATTCAATTTTTGATGAAATCAAACAAAGTTTAATTTTGGACCCTTTTGACCTCAATATGAACCAATTTGATAGCGGGGCCCACAAATAAAAAATCTAAATTCATGGTTAGATTCAGCATATCAAAGAACCCCATATATTCAATTTTTGTTGAAATCAAAAAAAGTTTAATTTTGGACCCCAACTTGGACCAACTTGAAAACTGGGCCCATAATCAAAAATCTAAACACATGTTTAGATTCAGCATATCAAAGAACCCCAAGAATTCAATTTTTATTAAAATCAAACTAAGTTTAATTTTGGACCCTTTGGACCTCAATGAAGACCAATTTAAAAAACAGGACCCAAATTAAAAATCTAAAAACACGGTTAGATTTGGCATATCAAAGAACCCCAATAATTCAATTTTCGATGAAATCAAACAAAGTTTAATTTTGGACCCTTTGGACCTCAATGAAGACCAATTTAAAAAACAGGACCCAAATTAAAAATCTAAAAACACGGTTAGATTCAGCATATCAAAGAACCTCATATATTCAATTTTTGTTGAAATCAAACAAAGTTTAATTTTGGACCCCAATTTGGACCAACTTGAAAACTGGGCCCATAATCAAAAATCTAAATACATGTTTAGATTCAGCATATCAAAGAACCCCATATATTCAATTTTTGTTGAAATCAAACAAAGTTTAAATACTGGACCCTATCTTGGACGAACTTGAAAACTGGGCCCATAATCAAAAATCTAAACACATGTTTAGATTCAGCTAATCAAAGAACCCCAAGAATTCAATTTTTGTTAAAATCAAACTAAGTTTAATTTTGGACCCTTTGGACCTCAATGTAGACCAATTTAAAAAACAGGACCCAAAATTAAAAACCTAAATACACGGTTAGATTTGGAATATCAAAGAACCCCAATAATTCAATTTTAGATGAAATCAAACAAAGTTTAATTTTGGACCCTTTTGACCTCAATATGAACCAATTAGATAACGGGGTCCACAAATAAAAAATCTAAATACATGGTTAGATTCAGCATATCAAAGAACCCCATATATTCAATTTTTGTTGAAATCAAACAAAGTTTAATTTTGGACCCCAATTTGGACCAACTTGAAAACTGGGCCAAAAATCAAAAATCTAAATACATGTTTAGATTCAGCATATCAAAGAACCTCATATATTCAATTTTTGCTAAAATCAAACAAAGTTTAATTTTGGACCCTTTGGACATTAATGTAGACCAATTTGAAAACTGGACCCAAAATTAAAAATCTAAATACACTGTTAGATTCGGCATAACAAATAAATAAATGTGATCAAAGATTTTACAAATCTAATGCGCCATACTGTGCAATTAAAGATTACTTCTTGAAATTTTTCAATATTTGAAATTTGAAAAAAAAAAAATATTTGAAGAATAATTCTTTTTAATTTCTGAAATCTGAAATGAGAAAAAATTGGCCCCCCACAATTTCTTTTTATCCTTTTTTATCCCTTTTTCCCCCAAAAAAATTCTTTCCCTCAAGATATGGTCATAATCTCAATTCAAATTTCCAATGGAGTTGGCAACCATAATTACGCATTTAAATTTACCATAGTGCTAACTTAATCTATTTTATAATAGAATTAATAAAAATATAGTGTCAAATCTTTCATATGGATTTTTTTGTAAAAAAAAAAGATGAAAACATTTGCAGATATTTTTACTGGTCTTCCTTTATAAATATGCATTTCTTTAAACATAATTTAAAAGCAGTGTAAGGGAAGTAACCAAAACGTTGTATTTGGATTACCTCCCTTACACTGTTTTAGATTATCTTTATTGTTCATTAACCATTACTTTATACATAATTTAAAAGCAGTGTAAGGGAGATAATTTCAATGATGTATTTGATTTATCTCCCTTACACTGCTTTAAATTATGTTTTGTACTAAAGTATTTGTCCATTAACCAGGACAACCTTGTTTTCCCCCCTTTTTTGCCCCTAATTCCTAAACGGTTTGAGCCATAACCCCCCAAAGCAAATCCTAACCATCCCTTTGTGGTATGGAAACTTGTAGTATAATTTCAGAGAGATCCATACACCGTTCCACAGTTATTGTCTGGAAACTAGAAAATGCTCATTTTTGGCCCCTTTTTGGCCCCTAATTCCTTAACTATTGGTACCATAACCCCCAAAATCAATCCCAACCTTCCTTTTGTGGTATTTAACCTTATGGTCAAATTTCAAAAAGATCCATTCACTTAAACTAAAGTTAGAGTGCGAAAACCAATATGTATTCGGACGACGACGCCGGACGACGACGCCGGACGACGACGACGACGACGAAGCCAACGTCATACCAATATACGACCACAAAATTTTTTTGCGGTCGTATAAAAATTGTCATCAAAGTGCAATAACTCTAATACAAAGTCGACTGACAATTTCGAACATGAAGACTTATTTGTAGAACTTGTCTTGCTGACCATTCTTGCAATTTAAAGTTTCTCTCTGTCTATTATAGTTTTCAATGTAGTCCAAAGAACTTGAAATTGGTTATATGAATTGAATTTATATTCAATTAAAGATTTCTTGCTGTTGTGCAATACTTAGTAAATCTGTTGTCAGACTATAAAGTTTATAGTATAAACAAATAAAGTTCAATTAATTCTCATATTAGAAATTTATGAAAATAAAAAAGGGAGCTTCCATCAATAGATATAAACAATTCACCAAAGTTTCATGAGAATTGGTGACAGCATTTTTGAGTTATTTTGTCCGAAAACTGGAAAATTCCCCCCTTTTTTTAATGAATAAAACTCAGAAATGTAAAATATATAAAATTCTAAAGGGAGCTTACATCAATACATACAAACAATTCACCAAAGTTTCATAAGAATTGCTGAAAGCATTTTCAAGTTTTTGTCCAAAAACTGGAAAATCCCCCTTTTTTTATGAATAAAACCCTGTAACTCGGAACGTAAAATCTAAAATTTATAAAAATCGAAAGGGAGCTCATGTCAATAGATATAAACAATTCACCACAATTTCTTGCAAGTTGGTGAAAGCATTCTTGACTTATTGTCCGAAAACTTGAAAATCACCCTTTTTTTAATGAATAAAACCCCATAACTCGGAAACGTAAAATCTAAATTTTATAAAAAAAGGAAAGGGAGCTCACGTCAATAGATATAAACAATTCACCAAAGTTTTATGCAAATTGGTTAAAGCATTTTTGAGTTAATGTCTGACATGTTGACGACGGACAGACAGACGGATGGACAGACGGACAATGGTATACCATAATACATCCCGTAAACGGGCGTATAAGAATGCACTCCACCTGCAGCAGCTGGATACGACCGCAGAGGTCGAACTCTGAACAGTTGGGGCAAGTATGGACACAATATTCAAGCTTGATACAGCTCTGAATTTGGATAGTGATTATATATTTGACACATTATCGATTTCTGACACAGAATAAATGTGGTCAGATAACTTAAAAAAATTGAAATGGGACATTTAATCTACTTAATGGTCCAATATCCAAAATCTAATTCCATGGTTAGATTCAGCACATAAAAAAAAAACCATGAATTCAAACGAAGTTTAATTTTGGACCCTTTGGACCTTAATATGGACTGATTTGAAAACAGGTCCCAAAATTAACAAATTTCTTCGCCGAGCGCAGCTGGATACGACCGCAGAGGTCCAACCCTGAACAGTTGGGGCAAAAATGGACACAATATTGGTGCTTGATACAGGTCTGAATTTGGATTGAAATTAAATGTTTGACACATAATAGGTTTCTGACACAGAATAACTGTAGTGAAAGAACTTAGAATTGGTTATATAATTTGATTTTATATTCAATTTTTTCTTTTGTTCCATTCACTATGCTATTGCGAATTGCCCCCCTCCCCCCCCAAAAAAAAAATTAACCCCCCCTTTTTTTTTTGCTTTTGTGCAATACACTATGCTGTTTCAAATTGACCCCCACCCCCAAAAAAATAAATTTCACCCCCTTTTCTTTTTGGCAATTTTTTTTTTTTCACCCCACCCCTTTGCAAAAAAAAAAAAATATATTTGAAGAAATTTTCTTTTTAATTTCTGAAATCTGTAATGAGAAAAAAAAATGGTTCCCCCCCTCAACAATTTCTTTTTTACCCCCCCCCCCCTTCCCCAATTTTTTTTCCCTCCCCTCCCCCTCCCCTTTTTCCTAAAAAAAAATCTTTCCCTCAAGATATGGTCATTATCTCAATTCAAATTTCCAATGGAGTTTGCAACCATAATTACCCATTTAAATACATCATAAAAGTCTTAAAATAGAAAATGACATACATAATCATGTCTAAAAATAATATATCTTTAATCAGCATTTTTATTAGTAACTTCTTAAAATAAATTGACAGCTAATCACCTCAAAACAATACAAAAATTCTTTATACATAATTTTAAAGCAGTGTAAGGGAGGTAATCCAAATTTAACATTGTACTTAAAAGTGATTGTCCATTAACAAGGAAAGCCTTGTTTTCCCCCTTTTTTGCCCCTAATTTCTAAATGGTTTGAGCCATTACTCCCTCAAGCCAGTCCTAACCATCCCTTTGTGGTATGGAAACTTGTTGTACAATTTCAGAGAGATCCATACACCGTTCCACAAGTTATTGTCTGAAAACTAGAAAAATGCTTATTTGGGCCCCTTTTTTGGCTCCTAATTCCTAAACTGTTAGGACCATAACCCCCAAAATCAATCCCAACCTTCCTTTTGTGGTTATAAACCTTGTGTTTAAATTTCATAGATTTCTATTTACTAATACTAAAGTTATTGTCTGGAAACCAAGTGTCTTCGGACAACGACAATGACGACGTGATACCAATATACGACCACAAAATTTTTTTGCTGTCGTATAAAAATCTGAATGCACAGTTAGATTCAGCATATCATAGAACCACCAGAATTCAGTTTTTGATGAAATCAAACAAAGTCTAATTTTGGACCCTTTGGACCTCAATGTAGACCTATTTAAAAATGTCCAAATATCCAATATAGTAATACATGGTAATAAAATGCTCTGCTGGGGTGCAGCTTGATACGACCGCAGAGGTCGCACCCTGAACAGTTGGGGCAAGTATGGACACAACATTCAAGCTTGATACAGCACTGAATTTGGATTGGGATTAAATATTTGACACAGCACAGGTTTCTGACACAGAATGAATGTGGTCTAAGAACTTAAAAAATTTTAATTTACCTATTCAAACCATATCATTATTATTTGCTTTTATATATAAATCAGAAATAACCAATTTAAAATGGAAAATTTTAAAGAAACCCCCCCCCCCCAAATTTTTTGAACCCCCTTATGATTCATCACCCCAAACTCAATCCCAGCCTTCCCTTTGTGGTATGGTACCTGCAGTACAATTTCAGAGAGATCCATACACTTGAACACAAGTTATTGTCTGGAAATTAGAAAATGCTTATTTTTGGCCCCAAATTCCTAAACGTTTAGGGCAATTACCCCCAAACTCAAACCCAGCTTTCCCTTTGTGATATGGAACCTTGTAGTACAATTTCATAAAGATCCATACACTTACACACAAGTTATTGTCCTGAAACTAGAAAAATACTTGTTTTTTGCCCCTTTTTTGGCCCCTAATTCCAAAAATTTTGAAGCAATTACCCCCAAAATCAATCCCAGCCTTCCCTTTGTGGTATGGTACCTTGCAGTACAATTTCAGAGAGATCCATACACTTGAACACAAGTTATTGTCTGGAAACTAGAAAAATGCTTATTTTTGGCCCCGTTTTGGCCCCTTATTCCTAAACGTTTTTGGCAATTACCCCCAAACTCAATTCCAGCTTTCCCTTTGTGATATGGAACCTTGTAGTACAATTTCAGAAAGATCCATACACTTACACACAAGTTATTGTCATGAAACTAGAAAAATGCTTGTTTTTTGCCCCTTTTTTGGCCCCTAATTCCTAATATTTTGAGGCAATTACCCCCAAAATCAATCCCAGCATTCCCTGTGTGATATGGAACCTTGTGGTACAATTTCAGAGAGATCCATACACTTGAACACAAGTTATTGTCTGGAAACTAGAAAAATGCTATTTTTGGCCCCTTATTCCTAAACGTTTTGGGCAATTACCCCCAAACTCAATTCCAGCTTTCCCTTTGTGATATGGAACCTTGTAGTACAATTTCAGAAAGATCCATACACTTACACACAAGTTATTGTCATGAAACTAGAAAAATACTTGTTTTTTGCCCCTTTTTTGGCCCCTAATTCCTAAAATTTTGAAGCAATTACCCCCAAAACAATCCCAGCCTTCACTTTGTGGTATGGTACCTTGCAGTACAATTTCAGAGAGATCCATACACTTGAACACAAGTTATTGTCTGGAAACTAGAAAAATGCTTATTTTTGGCCCCGTTTTGGCCCCTTATTCCTAAACGTTTTTGGCAATTACCCCCAAACTCAATTCCAGCTTTCCCTTTGTGATATGGAACCTTGTAGTACAATTTCAGAAAGATCCATACACTTACACACAAGTTATTGTCATGAAACTAGAAAAATGCTTGTTTTTTGCCCCTTTTTTGGCCCCTAATTCCTAATATTTTGAGGCAATTACCCCCAAAATCATTCCCAGCATTCCCTGTGTGATATGGAACCTTGTGGTACAATTTCAGAGAGATCCATACACTTGAACACAAGTTATTGTCTGGAAACTAGAAAAATGCTTATTTTTGGCCCCTTTTTGGCCCCTTATTCCTAAACGTTTTGGGCAATTACCCCCAAACTCAATTCCAGCTTTCCCTTTGTGATATGGAACCTTGTAGTACAATTTCAGAAAGATCCATACACTTACACACAAGTTATTGTCATGAAACTAGAAAAATACTTGTTTTTTGGCCCTTTTCTGGCCCCTAATTCCTAATATTTTGAGTCAATTACCCCCAAAATCAATCCAAGCATTCCCTGTGTGATATGGAACCTTGTGGTACAATGTCAGAGAGATCCATACACTAACACACAAATTATGTCTGGAAGTTACAAAAATGCTTATTTTTGGCCCCTAATTCCTTAACTGTTGGTACCATAACCCCCAAAATCAATCCCAACCTTCCTTTTGTGGTATTGAATCTGATGGTAAAATTTCAAAGAGATCCATTCACTTAAACTAAAGTTAGAATATGAAAACCAATGTGTCTTCGGACAACGCCGGACGACGACGACGACGGAGATGACGACGCCAACGTCATACCAATATACGACCGCAAAAATTTTTTGCAGTCGTATAAAAATGCTTATTTTTGGCCCCTTTTTGGCCCCTAATTCCTTAACTGTTGGTACCATAACCCCCAAAATCAATCCCCACCTTCCTTTTGTGGTATTGAACCTTATGGTAAAATTTCATAGAGATCCATTCACTTAAACTAAAGTTAGAGTGCGAAAACCAATGTGCTTTCGGACGACGACAACGATGACGACGACATCGACGACGCCAACATCATACCAATATACGACCACAAAATTTTTTTGCGGTCGTATAAAAACCTCAAACAATTCAAGACTTTAAATTAATCCTCATTGAAATTGGTTAAAAGATTTGTATTTATTTTTTATTGAAGATTTCTTGCTGTTGTGCAATACTTTGCTGTTGCGCAATACTTAGTAAATCTGTTTACAAACTAAATATAATAATTAACACACCCTGTTTGGTGTGTATCTCCTGCCATATCAGTATTTGTTGCTTCTTTATATAGATCAGAAATAATTTATGTTAGAACCAGCTTAGCCAGTATTAGAAATTAGTATTTGGCCTCTAGTTTCTGTTTCTTAACGATTAAAGCCACAACCCACAAAATCAACCCCAACCTTCTGTGTGTGGTATGGAACCTTGTGGTACAATTTCATAGAGATCCATTGACAAATACTTAAGTAACCGGAAACCAGCTGAAAAACCTTGTTCCTCTCCCCCCCTCTTTTTGCCCCTTATTCCTGAACAGTTTGAGCCATAGCCCCCAAAGTCAAACCCAACCTTCCCTTTGTCGTATGGAACCTTGTGTTTCAATTTCATAGAGATCCATAGACTAATACTTAAGTAAATGTCCATTAACCAGAAAAACCTTGTTTTTCCCCCTTTTTTGACCCTAATTCCTGAACGGTTTGGGCCATAACCCCAAAATCAATCCCAACCTTCCTTTTGTGCTATTGAACCTTGTGCTTAAATTCATAGAGATCCATTCACTTATACTAAAGTTACTGTCCAGAAACCAAATGTTTTTGCAAATTTTTTGCGGTTGTATAAAAATGAAAAAATAAGGGTAAAATTTGTCATTTAAGGGCAATAACTCCTATAAGAAGTTGTCAGACAGTTTTCGTATATGAACAATTGGTAGAGCTCAATATTCTGCACATTTCTGCTCATGTCAAATATTTATAACGGACAAAACTTGCATTTTACCCTATGTTCTATTTTTAGTCATGTCGGCCATTTTGGTTGGCAGGCAGGGTCATCGGACACATTTAAACTACATACCCCAATGATGATTGTGGCCAAGTTTGGTTAAATTTGGCCCTGTAGTTTCAGAGGAGAAGATTTTTGTAAAAGTTAACAGACGCCAAGTGATGAGAAAAGCTCACTTGGCCCTGTGAGCCAGGTGAGCTAAAAAAGTATTGTTTAGTATGAAATCAATTTGACTCAGTTTATGTTTGGGATGTGGTCATGTAGGAAAATTGACCAAACACAACAAATGTATGCTCGGATTTATATCTTTATCAACATATTTTCTGTGATCATTTTTTCACATACTTAAATTGTTAATTACATTCACTGTTAACTTAATTCTTATAAATAAAAGGTCAGTTATTAGTTATCTGACAGCTTTATAACAAGGTCAGTTAGGGCAGAGATAGTTAAAATCAGGTAAAGGTCAATTACTAAGTATCTCATCTTTAATGTTTGTATCTATAAACATTATATAACTATGAATTACCAATCTGCAGGTTACTGTATTATGTTATCTGATACTGATAAAACAAAAATAGATGCAAAATGGTAATAGGTAACTTGTCTTTTCTGAATCCGGATCAGGATCCATACAAACTGTTTATGTCACTAGACCCAAGGTTTTTGCTATACCACAGTATAACTGGACACAATATCTATCTTGTTACAAGGATTTATAGGAAAGTACATAAAATGAATTCTGTAATCAGTGAAACCATTACATGCTTAAGTTAATCAGAGAGATCATTGTATCAGCTGTAGGTTACATATAAAAAGTGTTCCTCTACTGGATAAGACTGATAGGGGATAGATTGAAAAAAAAAGAGAAAAGAATGATAAGAAATTTTTCACTTACAAAAATATTGAAATATGAAAATAATAAAAATTTTAAATGATTATAAAGACATTCTCCCAGCCAAAGGTCTGAAAATTATATAATTTGTATCTATTCCATAGACTTACCTTATTACTAACTATAAAACTACCACCTACAGCTAGACCATGAGTAAAATTATCTATCACATTGGCAAAAAGGTTTAAATAACCACTTATCTAAAAAAGAAAAAAATATATGTAAAAATCAGTTAATTCAGAATTTCAACTGAAAATGTCTTGCTGGTTCAATACATGTATTTTTGTTTAAAATCAATGAACTCTGCAACTGAGATCAAGGTCAAATAAAACCAGTAAAAATGCACATATATTCAAATCTTACAAAAATTCACGTACAAGGTAATACTAATAAATATCATGTAATCTCTGAGGTACAGACCTAATCCTTAAACTAATACCTGAATATTAAAGCATGAAAATGAAGTCAAGGCCATATGAGATCTGTCAGACAGATATCTACAACAAACCCAGTTACCCATTATTGTTAATGTCTCATGTGCATAGTTATATTGATAGACACCTACCTTTTCACCCTACTAATGACCTCCTGATAAATTTGAGTTTTTGTGTCATTGGGTTACTGTCTCAATGATGATTACCTCACATCAGTTTTTAATCATACAAGATATGAATTAATCTGTCATCAAGGTTGTCAGTGTAAAAGTTAATTTAATAACAAAATATCCCTCCTTCCACAACTTGGTTACAAAACTTTTGTTTTAAATCTTCTCCAACTTACATGCATATATTGATGTTTTTTTTTGGTTTTTTTTTAAACTTCCAAAAAAAACCCACCAATGAATCAAATACATTAACAGTTGTTTGATCAAGAATATGCAATCTTTACATTTCAATTCTATTTATATTGAGAAATATCTCCCAAATCTTTAATGTTTATATCTGCTATCCTACATCAGCTGTTTCTTTTGTGCATGTTATTAGACAATTGATTTATTTTTGTCAAGCCCTTTGAAAGTCAATTTCCAGGAAAAATGAGGTAATTATCAGAGAGATTATCACAGTACATCATCATTACAATCTGTCACCATAACCTGTTCATTTTTTACCCAATTTTGCTTACAGTGAATTAAATTTAGTAAATTATTTGAGTGAAATTCAGTTTTGTCAATTTTCACCGTATTCTGTGAAAATTGACGAAACTGAACAAATAAGGGAAAAATTAAAATCTAACATATATTCAGTTAAATTGAGTTAATTTCCGAAAGAATATTCATTTCTGTCTTGATACAAGAGTCTGTTAAAAAAGATTTTAAATTTATACTATTCTGTATACTTATGTTTCACTGTGCATGCACCAATTCTCAACTTCAGTCCTAATAATAATCAGAGTATTCTTTTAAACTAAAGGCTCAAAGAAGCCTAAATTATTCATCCTGCAAAATTATGCCATTTTGATATTAAAGTAAAATGTTGAATAAAAAGAAAATATTTAAAAAAGCTTCCATGCCCTGTTCCCCAGATTAATTATACCCCTCCTCTCAACAGTCTTCAAAATATAAAGCAACAATGGATAATTTGTAGATCAAGATCTGTCGTTTATCAATTTTGTTGTTAAGAGTTTCTCTCTATCCATGATGGTTTTCAAGATTATGTCCAAACAGGCTTAAAGTTCATAAAACAATGATGAATTTACATAGCAGATCTAAACTTCACTAAAAAATTGCCCCTGTTAAAGTTTCCTATCCATTACAGTTTTGGAGATATTAGGTCATGTGGCTTATTTGTAGATCTTCTGTTGCTTATCACATTTGCTATTTACAATAGCAGACTATCTATAATAATTTTCATGTATAGTAAAACATTAAATAGGTCATTTAAGTTCAATAAAAGCTATAATGAGGCATTTGATAATTTTGTTGGAAATAAAGAATCTACTCTTGACACTCTGAACATTTTTGCCATGTCAGATTTTTGTATCTGCATGTATTATAATTTTCAAGATATTAGACAATAAACCACATTTAACCCTTAAGTTATATTTTTAGCAATAGACCAGAAGATATGACAAATTATCATCTAAGACATCATAAGGATATATCCAGTTCAAGAAAAGATCCTTAATAAAGTTCAGTAAGGATAAAGTATGATGATAGACACCAGACCATGGATGTCAAGTGATAGCATAAGCTTATGCTGGCCTTTTGCCCAGAGCTATGCATCCACACTCAAACAATTTTAAACAGGCCAATACCATGAACCAATTTATTTTCCCTGATACTTTTATTCTTTTTAAGCCTTTTCTGATCTTTTCCACCACTTCTCTGCAATTCATTTTCAAACTTTTGTTGTGGATTCATATAAGAAAAGATCCAAGTTTGACACATTTTTCAGATGGTTTATATTTGTGTTTTTTAAAACTCATAAAGTCAAAATAAAACATCACTCGTGAAAATAAGTTGTTTTACAGTTTGTGTAAGCTGAATACAAATAAAAAAGCATTGGGTAAATAAAAGCCACAAAGACCTACACAGGAAGAACCATATATCAACTTCTACACTTGAAATAAGTGTTGTAAAATGTATTTCATAATAAATTTCATTATTATTGTGAATTATTATTATTGGTTAGTAATAATTCTTGTAGATTTTTATAGGATGTGGTTACCCACAAAAATATATGAATACACAGTTTTAAAAAGACCGAAATAGAATGGCCATACTCTAAGGTTAACAATATAGAAGGAATAATGTGACAAAGGCATGTTCTAGAGGGCTTGCAATCATAGATATAGATGACATAAAACAGCAGTGCACTATGGCAGACTTATCACTGTTTTGAGGTTTTTCAATTATAACTGCATGGTTTTCTATATTATTATCAATGAGATGCAATATTCAGAAGTTGTAGTTTGAAAATGAAAGATTAACTGTAAAAACTTATATACAAATTACAGATGTTACTTAAATAAACAAAACAATATAATAAAAAAAATAGCTTCCACATAAATATAAACTTACTTTTATGTTCTGTGGTTCTTCAGCATCTTTTGACAGCTGCACATGTCCACCATTTTGATGCTGTTTATACTGCTGTTCAGCTGTACCAGTCTTTTTCTTTATATTTTTTGACTGCGGTACAGATTTACCATTCTCCTGAACACTTCCATTTTCTGTAGTTTTATTGGATTTATGTTTATCTCTGTTACGTAAATTTTTATGTTTTGTATTTTTATTTTTATTTTGTTTCTCTGCAGCTACTTTTTCCTCTTCACATTCATCCCCTAACTGAAATTATACATTGTTACTGAAATTATACATTGTTACTGAAATTACACATTGTTACTGAAATTATAGATTGTTACTGAAATTACACATTGTTACTGTAATGATACAGTGTTACTGAAATTATACAGTGTTACTGAAATTATACATTGTAACTGAAATTATACAGTGTTACTGAAATTATACAGTGTTACTGAAATTATACATTGTTACTGAAATTATACATTGTAACTGAAATTATACAGTGTAACTGAAATTATACAGTGTTACTGAAATTATACAGTGTAATTGAAATTATACATTGTAAATGTAAATAAAATTATACATTGTAACTAAAATATTAATTATCAAATCAACAAGGTAAGAGTTTGCTTAAATAATCTTGAGTGTCTACATGGTAGATGTAGGCATATCCTAATTTCTCAATTAGATTTTAAACTTGTTAAAAAATTTTAACAACAGAAATCTAATGTTTTATAAATAAATGCTTGATTTCCTCAGTTTCCATTGCTTATTTATATACAAAAGGAAAACTTGCTAGCAATGCAATGTATTGTATATATAATATGTGCTTTGTATATGTTGGTCCTTTTTATAATGACCACATAAATATCTGATGCTGTTACAGATTACATGTATGCATATGTTATTCTCTACAGTTTAACTTCCTCTAAAAAGATGCATTATGGGTCACCCTAGTACAAATCGACATGTCTTATGGTATCAGTTTGCCACTCAACCAGTAGCATATCAATAAAAGGAGATGGGAGGGACATTTCAATGAAACAGCAACTCCCCAAAACTCCCTAAATAACAAGAAAAACATCTCTATTATAAATGCATTGTAAATTCTCCCACCCTAAGAAATAAAGCTTTGTAGAAATTGCACAAAGCAAATTTATTGAAATGTAACAATTTTCATTTGGAGCATAAAGATAAGCCTTCTCTAACAGGCTGAAAATTGATCCTTCCTGTTTTAGGTCTATGGTCAAATGTATCAATTAAATATTCTTTTGATCATTAATTCCACTGTGATATTAATTGACTTGAAAAATTAATTGACTTGGTACAGGAGTGAATTTAATAATTCATGGTACTTAAATAAGCAGACAATAAAATTGATTGTATTTTCAATAACTTATTGTGCTATATTCCTAATACAAGGATTTCTCTAAGACAATTTTTAATTTACTGTTGACATTTTCTTGCTTTAGTATGACATTATATAAATCCTAAAATATTCATTGCATATTAATATTTATGGATTTCATCAGAATCCAGTTTCAAAATCATTACATTCAAGCAAATTTCCTTAAGCATTGAACATTTATCTTTTGTGATGAGGATGGGTTTTTCTCTTCAGACAAACATTTTTTTTTTAAAAACAACATACAGGTACAAGTAATAATAATTTTTGAAACTCAATGCTGAATATTTTTTTCTCTTAATTTTCAATTGAAACTAATATTCTTTTCATTACTCTTTTGAAACAAATGATTTTTGTTCAAGAAATTTGGAATCAAACAATTTTATTAAAATGAACTATGTCCAAACAAAAGTTGAATGGTTGGTGCTTTATTTGATTAGAAAAAAATTCTCAAACAAAGACTAGTGAATGGTTACAAATTTTCCTTAACTTCTCTTCTTGTGATCATAACCGATGTATAGAAGTGGGAAAATATCTTAACCCATAACCCTTGACTAGCAGACATGAAGAAACCAAGGCAAACCTAGTTTACATTTCTCCTTCACTTAAAACATCTAATATTACTCAGCAAAAAATGTTTCATTATAATGACGGTATGAATATAAAGCATGAGACGTGAATTAATAAGAAGATTTCTGATGATATTTTCCAATGAGACAAGAATTTAAAAAGCCATCAAATAAAATTTACATATATACCATCATTTCACTTAATTTCATCAATGGATATCGATAAATCATATCATGAAATACTTTAAGTTATAAATATATGGTTTAATTGCAAATGAGACAAATATCCACCAAAGACCAAAGGACAAAGATGTGATCAACTACAAGTCATCATACAGCATTCAACTATAAGTAAAAATCATTTTGTGTTTATCAATCCGATTATAACACAGATCATGTGTCAACACTTCACTTACAAGGATCTGACAACACTCTGTTTAACAGATCTTTCAGGATCCTCTGGTTTTGTCCTAATGATACATACCTTTAAAAATTTGTAGGCAGGAACTTCATTAGCTGATATAATAATGACCAGAACAGAAATTAGAACGGAAAGTTGTTAGATCCTTGTTAGGAAAGCGTTGGCACAGGATCCGTATTTCAATCAGATTGTGTATTTATTTTATATTTTGCAATAGACATAATCTGCTGATATATACATACATGATCAAACTCTCCTTCTTTTGCAAAAGCCTTTTCTAGAACTAAAAATGTAAGTATTCCAGCTAATACCCACAGTCCAACTGACAGGTGACCTCCATGGTCATGGCTATCTAAAATATAAAAATATCAGATAACATGTCTGTAGGAATTGTAACCCACAAATGGGTTAAAAAAATGATTGGACATAGTGATCAAATTGTTGTTGAACAGCATTGCACTATGAAAGACTGTGAATGTATGTCACACTGACCCAAATATTGCTAGACAGAGTTGCCTTTTATAATTATAGTGGTGAAATATCATTGATATCAATATTATGTAATACTGAAATAGTGGACAAAAAAACCTCAACAAATTCTGAGCAGCATTATTATAATGTTACTGGAACCAATGTTACAGATGAATATAAACACCAAAAGCATTAAAAAAGGTTCCATTCAGTAATGATAAAATGTATTATATCTTGAGCAGTATTTTGTGTATAAAAAAGATATGGCAGTGAGTCTTTACATTAAAAACAATTAAACCATTTTATCCTCAGTCTGAATTCAAAGAATTATTTTGTTTTTTTATGACTAATTAAACAAGCATTCTGAGAGTATTGCATGACAATACATAGTCCCCTACTGGTTAAAATTTCATTATACTGGAACAAAATGCTCTACTTGTCATGGTGTTAACTATATAACAAATATCAAGTCAATATCTTCAAGCATGATGAAAAAGGTGTGGAAACTAATTATTTTAGTGAATTTTCCAAGTCCAAGGACCATAACTCTGCACAAAATCATCAGATTGGAACAAAATTCGAACTTGATCTGTAACTTGTCATGATAACACTATATACCAATTATCAAATAAAGTGCGGATAACTGAATATTTGAGTGAATTTACGAAGTCCATGGACCATAACTCTGGACAAAATCATCAGAACGGAACAAAATTCGAACTTGATCTGTAACTTGTCATGATAAAAATAAATACCAAATATCAAATCAATATCTTCATCCACTAAGAAAAAAAGTGTGGAAAACTGATTTTCCGGACTGACAGACAGACATTGTCGGTAGGGGACTAATAAAAAGCAATGCCATGAGCGCATGATACGCCTGTCGCTTTTCCAAAGAATAAAGTTCCATAACTCCTCAATGTCATATCAGAAATTTATAAAAAACTAAAGGGTGGTTATTTTAATAGATATCAACCAGTCACCAAAGTTTCATGAAAACTGCTCAAAGCACTTCTGAGTTATTGTCCGAAAGCTCTTTAGAGTTCTTGTCCGAAAACTGGAAAATCCCCCCTTTTTTATGAATAAAATCTCATAACTTGGAAACATAAAATCTAAACTTTATAAAAATCAAAAGAGAGCTCACGTCAATAGATATAAACAATTTACCAAAGTTTCATGCAAATTGGTTAAAGTGTTTTTGAGTTATTGTCTGACATGTTGACGACGGACAGACAGACAGACAAAGGTATACCATAATACGTCCCGTAAACGGGCGTATAAATACTTAACACTAGTAAAAAATGTGTAGAAGTGATATAATCAGGGAAGTAACTCTTGTAGGACGAGGATAAAATTTCTTTCACTTGTATGACCATGAAATTTAAAATTGTTGACCCTGTTTAACAAATATTGTTTCATGCATTTTCTTTCATAAATATCCATGTGCATCTTGAAATATACTTGAAATACAAGAAATTAAATTACAAACTTTTATCTAAAGATTCCCACGCTTCAGGTAAAAGATGAAGAAAGACATCTCCCAGCAGTCCACCAACAGCAAAGCTTAATAATAGCTTCAATTTGTTTGCTGCAGCTAAAAAATACATAAAATAACAAACTTAATAAAAGCTTCAATTTGTTTACTGCAGCTAAAAAATACATAAAAATAATAATCTTAATAACAGCTTCAACTTGTTTGCTGCAGCTAAAAAATACATAAAAATAATAAACTTAATAATAGCTTCAACTTGTTGACTGCAGCTAAATATACATAAATATAACAATAATTACAATGTTTCTAGTATAGTAACATTTTCTACTAACATGACTAAGTATAAAAATGTATAATGCATAGGGATTTTTTGGGATTGACATACTTTAAAACTAATCCTTGTCTGAAATTCCTTCCTCAGAAAATAATGTCATTTTACTCAGGGAATATTGAGCTATTAATTTGTGTGGCCTAAATATTACAAACCTTCACAAAATTACAGTTTTTTTCATTCACTGTCAGTAATTTCTATGAAGGTCTAGATTGAGTTTACAGAATAGAGAATAATGGGCCAAGGTTACAGAAAAATGGACAAAAAAAGAAAAGAATAGAGAATAATGCATAGGCACTTGTTTCTGAAAAAAAATGTACCCCTTTACATTTAAAAAATAGAGATTATTTTTTTCAGCAACAAAGGCATGTGGAACAATCAGGTGTTACTATGTAGAGAATAGAGAAAAAGGGCAAAAATATAGAAAATAGAGAAAATTACCTAAAATCTAAAGAATACAGAAATGAAGGATCTCCCATCCAGACCCTCTTCTATATAAAATAGATTAATATATTTGCAATATATTTGTTTTATGAGTGAGCTTTACAGATTAAATATGTTTTTATTATGGAAAAGTTATTACTTACAACCCTGTTTGAAAATGACAGTTTTCTTTTTTTTTTAAGCACTCAGGTTAAGAATTGTGGCCTTATTTTATGAAATATTTTATGTTTATAACTACAACCAAATAAATTTGTAAATATAAAGTTATTTATATTCAAACAAAGTTTTAAATCTCAATAGTCTCATAATATCATGTAACAGTTGTTGGGACCTTTAAAAACTGTTCTTCTGAAAACCTTCTAATAAAAATAAGGTAAATTTATTCCATTTTAAACATTTTATCTTGGCCTTGTGCCTATCATTAAAAAACTGCTGAAAATTTACAACTATTATTCTCTTAAAATTATTTGAACAAAGACTTCATACTTTAATTTGTTTTCTACATTGTTCAAAGAAGTAAAATAAAATATTTCAAAAGTGTAATGTAAGATTGTAAAGGACACGCTGATAATAGAAATGGCAATTTTATAAGTTACCGGTATATTTGATGTGCTGTATCTTTCGTTGTTTATCATGGAAGAGAACAGACCATTTACCGGTAAGAAAAGGGTACAAATTCCAGTTGGTTGTAACTTATGTGATGCAAAAGAAATCAAATGGAAGTGTTTTGACTGCGAGATTTTAATTTGCAGGAAGTGTAGAAATGAAAAACATCCAGTGGACCATCTTTCTGTAGATAATCGGCTGATTGGTTCCCAGAAAAAAGCCAATTTACATCATTCATTAGGTTTTCCTGTAATGGAATGCTCACAACACGGAGAAAACGTGTCTTCATTTTGTAGAACATGCAAAAAGCTTCTTTGTTCAAAATGAATAGAAGAAAACTTATATGCAAACCATAAAGGACACAGTATCATTAAAGAAGACGAATATAAAAGAAAATTGGATAAACTGATTTACGAGAAAGACAGAGTGTCTAAAAATTTTAAATACATAAAAGAGGCCAAAGAGGAGATTTATCAGAAAAAAGTTGAAACTTCAAATTATTATAAGCTCAGGAAAGAAATTTTGTCAAGAAAAAAAGCTGCAAAAAACAAAACCATTATAAACAATGATGCTTTTAAAGTTGAACTTAATTTCATTGGTTATAAATGGAAAAATGTAATTAAAGCCTTTCGGGAAAAACAAAGAATGATTGAGGAGGACAAGAAATTAATTCATCGCCTAAATATGAACTTTGAAAATATCATTAGGTCCCTAGACTTGGTATCTATTTTTGAAGAAGCTGACAAATTGGATACTTTAACAAAAGAAGATAGTTACAAAGATTTATCAAAGAAATGTGAGCTAAAACATCACAAGAATTTTAGCTCCATCCCAAAGTGTGAAATTGGATCAGCTGAATTGATAGTGGCAAAGCAATTTACAACAGATTTAGTAAATATTCATTATATTTCATCATATTCTAATGACTTCTTGTGGATTGGAGATAATACCTCAAGCATGCTTCAAAAAGTCAAAATAGACAAGCAAAACATATCAGTAGAGTCAAAATATAATAATATAATATTTGGGATTGCCTCTTTTTCTACAGGCGATCTTCTTTTATGCCCATATGAATCATCACTAAACCAAATATCAAGAAATTCAGGGAAAATTGGGAATTCAAAATATAGAGTTAGTAATCTTCATTTAAGAGCTGTTCATGTGACTAAAGATAATAAGAAAGTAATAGTTGGAGCAAGGGATAATAAAGGATCTGTTTTTCCAGCATATGGGAATAGAGTAGTAATTGTGATGGACCGAAATGGAAAACATCTTGCAGTACATGAAAGTGATAATGAAAAGAAATTTTTCACATACCCAAGGAGCATATCATCAACTTTCAATGGAAATATTTTTGTTATTGACCAGTTATCAAAAGATGACACAGGAAGGGTGGTAGTTCTTAGTGAAGACGGAAACATACAATCAATTTACACAGGTCACCCTAGCAACAAAATTTTTTTTACACCAGTAGGCATAGCAACAACCCCAAATGACAAAATTCTTGTAACCGATGGCAAGAATCACGCTCTTCATGTCTTAAACTGCAATGAATCTTTTCTAGTATACATTGATACTCATGACCTGGGAATTATTTATCCATATTCACTAGCATTTACTTCATCACAAAAACTTTTGATTGGATGTGTTCGTGGCAAGGAAAACACCAGCAAAGGAAAAAACTTTTTGAGGTTGTTTACTGTGGTATTTAGTTATCATATGTTAATCCTTGACAAGTATAAAGCTAGATTTCAGATTTATATCTTAGACTTGTTATTAAATGATGGAGAGAGTATAATTTTCATTAAAAAAAAAGAGTTGATACATTTCATTTTTTACCTGATATTCTATTAAGTAGGGGGCAAAAAAACAAGATGTTGAAACCAAAATTACAAAGAAGGACATCCTGTTTAATAAAGTTAAGTCAACTGGGGTTATAAGCTGAATGAAATTTTGATAAAAAAATGACTCTTTGCAAATGGCTCAAAATTTATAAAGGGGTCAACAACAATTTGGATACATTAACCTGAATAATCCAGTCGTTATATTACGATCACTTCGATCACTCCATTAACATCCTTGAGAAACGGTAGTGGATAGAGGGCGCTGAATTATTTGAGTTATGGATACATAGAACCATCAAACTTTTCCGTACTACTCTCTGAAACCACACCTGAGTCAAATCAATGAATCTGATTACTCCTAACTAGAGATGCAGTGAAATATTTATGGACAGATAACCAGAAATCAATTTGAGAATACTTCTCAATCTCTGTCACATTTTTTTCCCAGGGTATTGATTAGAAAACATATCTAGGTAAATAGTGGTAACAGTTTGTGATATAGATCAGTTTCCCATAAAATAAACAATCAATAATAATCCCTAAATTAATGTTTAATTATACTTATATTAGAGCACTTTATCCAAAAGCCTGTTTTCTGACAATATAAGAATTTGATGGAATGTATCCTATTATAGCAATGACTTACAAAATAAATTGAGATAGATTCCGGCACAGACTCCCTCCAATATATCTGCCGATGTTTCCAAAGCCTTCATCCATCACTAGTTAGATATTCAATAATTCCATTCTGAACTACCAAATAAATCTGTTTGCAGTAAAATGCACTGAATGGAAATTTTCAAGAAGATAGCTTTCTTTCAGCAAATTACGATAATTTACAAGTCAGATCTTGCAAATTAAATCTGATTTCAGATAATGAAATGAATGGAACATTTTAAAGACGACCATGTCTTTTCAAGATAAGAACTTGGAAACAATTCTGTTTACATCAAAAAGCGCTGACAGTTTCTCAACAGAAATAGGTTTTTTTTCTTCAATAAATCTTGTTGAAACAAAATGAACTGAACGGAGCTAATAGAAAGGAATTTAGCCACTTTACTGGTCCAAATGCAAATAATGATAGCAAAAGCATACAGATTTGAAATCAAATCTTGTCTGAAGGATATATCCCAAAACAAAGCTCAGGTAAGACTTAATCAGTCAAGTTATCAAAGGAAAAAGTAAATTCTCAAAAATGGGTTAAATTAAAGAAATAAATAAATGGAAATTGAAAAGAAATACTAATATGTATAATAATCTGTAGTAATGTTGTTTGTTGTAGTTAATGGTTTATTGTCATTTTTATGTATTTTGTGTGGTTTTTGTTGTTGTTGTTTAGTAACAACTCAGCATTATTTTTCTAACTTGTAACATACTTTATAAAAAATAAGAACAGGATGCAGTATGATTGTAAATGAGGCAACTCTCCACCAAAGCTCAATAACATAGAAGTAAACAACTATAGGTCAGCCTTCAGCAGTGAGTAAATCCCACACCTCATAGCAAGCTATCCAAGTGACAAATGTCAAACAATTAAAACTAGGGGAAAAAAACAGCCTGATTTATGTACAAAACAATAAATGAAAAACAAATATGATATACAGCAACAAACGACAACCACTGAATTACAGGCTCCTGATTTGGACAAGAACACACAAAATGTGGCAGGGATAAACATGTTTGCCCATTCCTCCCCCTAACCTGGGACAGTGGTGTAACAACATAACATCAGAACAAATTATTAAAAAAATCATTCATATGAGTTGAATTCCTGAGAAGAATTCGCAAGGGTTTGGGACCACTATCAGATTTTTTGACTGGCAGATCACATTGTTTCATTCCAAACAATAACACTTTTCTATTAACTTATTTGGAAA